CGCGCTGACTTCTGGCCTGGGGAGGGAGCCTTGGCTGCTGGCCCTTGCGCTGCATTTCTCACTGCTCCTCTCCTTGCCAAGCCGCGAGGGAAGTGGAGGCTCTGTCTCCACCTGTTTCTGCAGCGGCGTGAAAGCTGCCTGCTTGTCCTCAGCCTGTAGCCCAGCTACGCCATCAAGTGCAGCTTCCTGCAGCCCAGGGCCCCTGGGCAAGGAAGCAAAGGGATGGCCTGATGTCTTGCAGGAAAACCCTGCAAGCCATCCTATAGCATGCCGGGGCATGGCAGCCTGGAGCAGAGTGCAGAGCGTGTTCATGCAGAACCTGCCCCAACAGGGCACGTTTGTACTGATATCTGCATCCTGCAGGGAGCTGGAGAAGCACCAAGAACTGGAGTCTCCATGGAGCTTTCTTGGGGGAAGAGGTCCTTTCCTTGCCGCCAAGGGGGTGCAGTCATGTGGAAGGTGGACAGCATCGGGGTGGGAGAGGCATTAACTTCGTCCTCTCCCGTTGTGTTCAGATCAACAGACAACGGAGAGCAAAGGGGTGATCATTGTGGCGATCATCGTCTGCATCCTGGTGGTGGCTGTGCTGGGGTCTGTCATCTACTTCCTGCACAAGAAAGGCAAGATCCCATGTGGCCGCGCTGGGAAACAGGACATGTAAGCACTGCTGCCCACCCTCCCGGGGGGCCCCTGGGGCCAGAGGTGCTTGCCATCACTCCTGCTTCCCATCTCATTGCACCGGCCGCTCCCTGCCCAACGCCGAGGGAGGCAATAGGGTAGCCTCAGGGGGCACCGCACGGGGGTCTCGGCAGCGCTTCCAGCTTCCCACAGCCCTGGGGTCTGCGTTGCTCGCCCCGGCCGTGCAGGGAGGCGGTGAGGAGGACAGCGGAGTGGTAGAGCAGCCAAGAGACTCCTCAGCAGGGAGGGGCTGGGCAGCCCAAAGCTTTCTCTGAGCCGGAGCCTCCTTCGCTCCTGGCCTTCCTCTGTCCCGGCCCTGCTCCAGAGCATCCCCTGAGATGGATCCCCAGGGCTTTGGCCTTGCTCAACCGGCCACGTGCCCTCTTGGGTATCACAAACATGTCTCAAAATTGTCACCTCCCTCCCCTAGCACAAAGCCAGAGGCACGTAAAGACAAGAATGTAGTTGAAGTTAAGTCAGATAAACTTTCCGAAGAGGCGGGG